GAATTGAATAGCCCGATAATGCACTCGATGATGGAAAAATAAAAATTAAATTTTTTGATAACAATTTTACGAACCTGCCCCAAAATGTGGAGCATGGAGTGAATGAGGTAAATATAAATGTTTTTATCTATGAATATTTATTAATATTTCAATTTATTTTTTTAGTTTTCTATAAATTAAGTAGTTATGTTATTTTTTTAATTTTTTGAAGTGATTTTCTCGTGCGCATATACTACGAGTTATTAGGTTATTTTAATACCAGACAAATCCCGAAATAAGGTCCATCTGATGTACTTGAATCATTTGCAAAATTTGAGTAAATCAATAAATATAAGTTGGGGGTTGATAGTTTTGACATTTTTGTTATGGCAACTTTGTAGAGCCGTAGATCCAAAGAAAAATGTCATTGGAAGGTGTTTATTGTTGTTGCAGTCGTGAGCCTGGATCCAAATGCCATTTTTATGCTCGATCCTTAAAACCTATGCCCCATATGGATTTTTGTTACTTAAGATATAAAAAATTATTTTTATCTATTTTTTATAATATTACTAACAAATAATATAATTTTATTGTATTAATGATAGGTGGACTGATGAAACTTCTCACGCCCATTTACCAACACATCAACGAGACTTCAGACTCTTGATCGATAAGTTTGGACATCAGGTAATAAAAAAAATTTATTCATTTTTTATCTTATAATTTTAGAATAATTTAATTTATTTGTGATTTTTTGCTAACAAAGTTATGTAATTTAAATTTTATAGTTCTTGTGGACGCCTTACTGCGATGCTGCTATTATTGACTATATACCACATGGAATTCGGGTGACTAACACGCATGTCTACATCGTGTCAGTTCTGTTGATCTTGCATGAGATAGTTGGGTGACATCTTACCAAGTGCGTCATTCAACAATTTAATTATGTCCAATCAATTTCGCCACATCCACCTTGCTTGGATGAGTTGCATCGATTGACTTGACAATGGAAGCCGAATATTAATTGGGCAGACCTTAATACGGTGTATATGAGCGAGTGGATCGAAGATTCGAGAGGATATTTGACCACAACGTGACATACGATTATAGGCAATGATACCAAGAATATAGGATGCCACATATATTGATGGATTAGGAGCGAGCGCGATAATTATATGTTCCTCTACAGAGTTACCCACGGATAGGGAGGTAACATGAGGGAGTCAAGGCAAAGAAGAAGAAGACAACAATGTGCATCATCCTCATCGGCAACAACATAGAGATCTCCTTAAAAGTAGAAGACAACGAAGAATACGACACAGTTACAACAGTTCCACATGCTGCAACGCCTATTTCATATTACCAACAATTATCGTACTTTACAATAATTGATACGGAAGCATTCAACACTTCAAAGTTTTCCCAATTCGCACACATTGAGCAATACAATCAACGTAGTGATGGTGATCTTTATGTTAGAATGGTTTTCAAGTTAATATAATGTTTTAATTTATTATTTATTTTGATTTGTTTATTGGTAAGTTGGCATTTTTATTTACTCTTTTTACAAATGAGTTTTAGGATAAAAGAACAAGTTGTGGCTATAATCAAGAACTACAACATACGTTGCTCTATCATGTTAACTGTGAAAAAAATTGATGCAAATAAGTACATCACTGAATGTCTCCACAATAAGCAGGGATGCAATTGGAGGGTTTGTGTATCACAATTGAAGACGATGAACAACATTTGGAAACTCACAAAATACATCCAACCAATATATGCTCTGCCAACATCCTAAATCAAGATCATCATAACTTGGATGTGCACATGCTTTCTGAAGACTTCATTCCGCTGCTCAAATCAAATCCACGTGTTACGGTTGCGACCTGTATTGCTTCAGTTACATCACTATACGTGTATACAGTTGACTATCACAAAGCATGGTATATCTGGCCAAACAAAAATTGTTCGGCTAGTGGGAGGAATCATACAATGAATTATGACCATGAATTACGACCATGACTTAAACTGATGCAGAAACACATTTCGGGAACAATTGTGAAATTGGAAATAGTTTCAGCGTACGAAAATAATCGTGTTGTACAAGGTGTATGCCAATTCTACCAACTTTTTTAGACTTTCCCGCAATGCATTAATGCATTCCGACACTGCAAGCTGATTATTCAAATCGACGACACTTGTTTATATGGTCAATACATTCAAATAATGTTATTGAAGGTTGCACAAGACGACAACAGAAAAACTATTCTCATCGTCGAAAAGAAAGATATTGACTATTGGAATTATTCCTTATGAACTTACAAACATATGTTTTATCACATTTGATGCAGAATATAGATGATGAGATTTGTCTTATTTTTTATAGAAGCAATGGTATCAAATACGCACTCCAACGTATGGGCTCGTTTTGCCAACCCCCAATATTTATTATCAGTATTATTTACGACATATTGCCGTAAACTATTTATAGAAGTTCAAAAGTCAAGATGAACTTCTAATGGTATTTCGAATGAGTATGTATTTCACCATTTTCAATTTACCTTATCTTTACAAAAATTATTTCAAATTAATTGTTCCACTTTTTATCGATAGGTTACATACAATCCGTATGTGAGTTGGAGGACCTGATGCAAGAACTGAGACACATGAATTCTGAGGGCTTCAACTACCTTGTTAGAATCCCAAAGGAGAGATGGTTTCGATCATTTGATGAGGGTAGACAGTATGGTCACATGACAATGAACTTGACTGAGGCAATAAATTCATCACTGAAGGGAGTGCACCATTTGTCTATCACGTCCGTTGTCAAAGTGACATATTATCGACTGGAACCCTTTTCGCAACCTTGGGAAGGCAAGCAGCTGACTGGATGATAGGTGGCCACCAAATCCACCCAGACATCATCATAAAATTACAATCATTCCAACAACATTCCAATCCAATGAGCGCCATATGCTTCTCTCGTGAAATATCATTATTACGTGTATCAAAATTTGCGAGGCCATTGGAAGGCATACAACATAATGCATACGTGGTTAATTTACGAGAAAAAACATGCGAGTGTAGATTCTTCCAAACTTTAAAATACCCATATGCGTACACCATTGCTGCTGTTGCTTCTGTTCGGATACCCTACATGATATTTGTTGATCAATATTACTTACTTGAAACTATATTCAAGGTTTATGAATACGAGTTTCCTCATATTGGAAATGAATGAGACCCGAATGAAACTGATGATGAACCTAAATACGACCAAATTATACACTACGACGAAGAAACCCTATCGTCCATGATCAACCTAGATTTTTTGTGACGAGGATTTGGTTGAACATCATGAAAGAATTGGACAACCAAAATTATGCTCTATATATAGGAATCCTGGACATACGAAGAACAAATATCCCAATCGCTCAGGCCCACAAATCAATTAAATGAGCTTTTTGCATTATTTTTTTAATTAACAACATATATTACTTAGTTTTCAATTTCTTTTGATTTCTTTATGCACCAAATCATGCATTCCAACATTTTCCAACACAATTTTTACCCTCATTAAAATATCTCGTATGTGGCCAAACTAACATTAACATAAATATAAGTTGCAATACTATACCTCTAAGCATATAAATTCTGAAATCACTCATATTTACAAGACATAAATAACACTCCAATATATCTATCAAACCATTTTTTCTTCTTTCTTCACAAAATCATGATTTCTAACAATTTTTAACGTTCTTTTACCCCCTTAAAATGTCTTATACATGATGATATTATAGTGACCTTAAAGATAAATTGCAACACTAATTAAAATATTAAAAAAAATTAGTTTCCCACTCGAAAATAGTATCCGAGCAAGTCTATGGACACTAAAGGGAGGGTATGGAATTTATTGTCATCGCACTTTGCAAGTCTCGAGGTCTCCCATAAATCTCTCAATATTTTGGATCATAAAGGTTACCTCTCTCTTCGCAATGCGCGATGTCATTTTTTCCAATTGTTTTATTGGCTTACCTAGAAAGTGCGCCCACGTTGATGTATCTCGCATGTTGGAGGATGTGAGAATTTAACACGTTATTTGCAGGCCGCGAGGTTGTCTGATGTGAATGATTGAAGGGTGTAAGGATTTAACACGTTATTTGTAGGCCGCCAAATCTTTTTTTTTTTTAATAATTATTTATTTGATGTTTTTAATATAAATTTGTCAAAAAAAAAAGGCTTATTTGAGGAAAGAACAGCAAAAACGCAACCAAGTTTTTAATAAGAGGTTTGGAATCCAAACCAGAAGCATCCTTTCAAAGTTTCATCAGCAATGAGTCATTGGCTCTAGAATCTGCACACTAATGCGTATCACTTGCAACAAAAATATCAAATTAAGGTATTTTGTCCGCACCCAATGTCTGTTTTCAAACTCAGGTTAGGACCATTACAACAATGGGGGAGCAAAGCAAAGGCAAAATCTTTCAACTGCCGTCACATTAAAAAATCGTCCAACTTTACAAGAAAGTGAACTTGAAAAGTCAATTCCTTGAAATGATAAGCAAACAAATAGTGAATGGGGATTGATCAGAACGGGAAGTTTCCTTGAGAGTTCATCCATGCCATGAAAATACAAAAATGTACCCTTTACTTAATTCTTTACCTTGAAAAAGGTTTGCCATTTGTCTTTCAATTATCCATACGATTGCGGATTATCCATTAAAAAGCCCCATTTTTAAATTCAGGATTAAAAAAGTTTTTGGTTTTATTAGTTTATAAAGGAGGGAGCCACCTATGAAGCTCTAGTTAAGATACCATCATTTTTGTATAGAGAATCCAACGACTAAGAAAAGATGGCCATGCTGTGCAAGAAATGGGCTAACCATTTCTGACTTGACCCTCTATAACTACGGAGAGAGAGAGGCAGAACACGCCAGCTTAGAAAGCGGAACCAGCTCGCCGTTAATGCAATTCATCTTTTTATTTTTCTCTCTTTGATCTGCAACCATTATCACTATCCGCTTACTAGTTGCAGCCTGCCGGTTGCTTCTACCAACTGCTGTACAAGAAATAACCAAGCGTTTTGCTATAAACTAGTAAATTTCTCTCTCAAACCCCATTTCCCCCTGCTTTTTATTTGGTTTAACAGAGAAAAGACTTGTTTTTGGGTGATTTAGTTTCTTGGGTATTCTTTTGTTTCAAGTGTTTCCTTTTTTGTTTGAACTTCTAAATAAGAAAAAGCTGGTTTTGTTCTAATTAAGTGATGGTTTTGGGAAGCTTTGTTTTTAAGACGTAGATCTCCTTTTCTTTGTTGAATTTTGGATCAAAGGGTCATTTTTTGTGTATGTTTTACTATCTCCAGAAGAAGAGTTGAAGATGGTGGCTTGTTTTCGGGTATTTGATTCAATGGGGATTTGCTTTAGTGCCAGAATTAAAGCCGAAAGCCTCAATAACACAGGTAGTAGAATTTTTCTAAAGCTACCGTTTTGTTTTCTCTTTATCGAGCATCATGCTAATATATCTGCCAGTCTCGATGGACTCATTTGCTTATTTAAACATTTTAGTAATATAGGGATTTCAGAACAATCAACAGATCTCAATTGACAAATGCATTGCATGATTGAAACAGGACTGACGTCAAATTATGATAGTGGTAAAGGGAAAGATTTGAGCAGTGAAAGCAGCGGCAGCAAAGTTTCATCGTTCTCAGCACCTTTAACACCTCGGAGTGAGGGTGAGATTTTACAGTCCCCCAATTTGAAAAGTTTCAGCTATGCTGATCTCCGAATGGCCACGAGGAATTTCCGCCCCGATAGCGTGATTGGAGAAGGAGGTTTTGGCTCCGTGTTTAAGGGTTGGATAGATGAAAACTCCTTCGCCGCCACCAAGCCTGGAACCGGCATCATTATTGCTGTCAAAAGGCTCAAGCAGGATGGGTTCCAAGGTCACAGGGAGTGGCTGGTGAGTCCATGTTCAGCCTCATCGTGTTCTCATATGCAGAGCATTGGAGTCGTTCGCATTTCTTAATGTGTGTTGTTTTTCAATTTGCTTGCTTAAGATGTTTATCTGTGAATCGTATTGGTTTGTTTTTATCATTTTGGCCTTATGGAAGTTTTTAAATTATGTTTTGAGATCCAAGTGCATGGATTCACTTGTGTTCGTTCTCGATCTTATAGGCTGAAGTGAATTACCTGGGACAATTTTATCATCCTAATCTTGTGAAACTGATTGGATATTGCTTGGAGGATGAACACCGCCTTTTGGTGTATGAATTCATGCCTCGTGGCAGCTTGGAGAATCATCTATTCAGGAGTAAGTTCTTCTGGTCTATCGCTTGGTGTCATCGAACGGAACTTTGTTTTAAGTGTCATTTTATTTAATTATAACACTGAATTACCTATACCAGGAGGTTCTTATTTCCAGCCTCTTTCTTGGAGCCTCCGTCTGAAGGTTGCTCTCGGTGCTTCAAAAGGGCTTGCCTTCCTTCACAACGCGGAAACGAAAGTCATATATCGAGACTTCAAGACTTCCAACATCTTGCTTGATTCGGTATGTGATTTGTTAAGCCAGCGTTATTTCCCATTACATGACTATTTCATCACATTGTTTATGAACCATTTCATTCTGTTGCCATTACAGAACTACAATGCAAAGCTTTCGGATTTTGGATTGGCCAAAGATGGGCCAACAGGTGATAAGAGCCATGTTTCTACGAGGGTCATGGGGACCTATGGATATGCTGCTCCGGAGTATCTTGCCACAGGTACTTAATAACAGTTGACCGAGTATATGTAATTTTCCGCTGTTGTAAACAAAGAATCATTCTGTTTTTTTCTCCGACTGTGTAGGTCATCTGTCTGCCAGGAGTGATGTCTATAGTTTTGGAGTTGTGCTGTTGGAGATGTTATCCGGCAGAAGAGCAATCGACAAGAATCGACCGTCCGGAGAACAAAAACTGGTGGAATGGGCCAAACCTTACCTTGCCAACAAACGCAAAGTATTCCGTGTACTGGATAATCGCCTTGAAGGCCAGTACTCAATGGAAGGAGCCTTTAAGGCTGCTAACCTTGCTTTGCGATGCCTTTCCATCGATCCTAAGTTCAGACCGAACATAAATGAGGTTGTAACAGCATTGCAGCAGCTCATGGAATCCAATGATTCCGAAAGTAATCAGAACAAAACTAACGACATACCTCGGAGACGTAGGCAAAGAGCAGATGATGTTAACGCTGGTAGGAGTAAGACTGCATACCCTCGTCCATCGGCTTTGCCACTTTATGCCTGATAACGGAATCAAGGCCCGGAAGGCATTCACTTTTACTATATTTTTGCCTAGTGATTGTACAGTTAGTTTATTAGCTAAATGTACTTGAAAGTTGGCGACAAAATTGCAGGCTGTTACCCAGATCAAGGGGGAATGTACTTGCAATTATATGTTACTTTATGAGAGCCAACTTGGAAAACGGTGTAATAACTTTTCTACGGTGCAATTATTAGTTTTATCCTCCCTTTTCCAGTCGGGTTTTGGTGAAATTATAATCATATTTTTTTATTAGTTCATTTTATGATTAACTTTTTCCTAGTCTTTTGAGATTGAGAAGGTTACAAGAAATATCAACTCTTCTGGACCCTCCATCAAAACAAGGTGCTTTCATGATCGGTTTGAGAGAATCAATTGTTGAGAGTGTTCCCATAATGATAAACAAAGTCGCTTTTCTTGAAAACAGAGTCAAAGTTTGTGTGCAGGACCTCGTCCATTCGTAGGTCAAATTTCGATGCAGAAAGTACACTTCCCAGGTTTCGAAACAGATGAATGGTTTTTATTATAAAAATAAATATCTAAATAATAATGCATCCAAAAATGTTTTAATATTTAAAAAAAAATTCGTTAAAAATAATTATTTAAAATTTTATTCATTATATTTTTAGGTATTAATCGTTAAAAAATCTGTAACATGTGTCAAATTCATATTTTTTTTAAAAAAGTTATATTATTTATTTTTTTTAAATCTGGACATGACATGTGTAACTTAATGATTTTTTTAACGGTAGACACCTAAAATTGTATCGGAGAAAATTTTATACACTTATTTTTAGCGAAAAATTATTTAGACACTAAAAATTAATTTTAAATATGGTTTAAACATTTACTTTTATATTAAACATTTTTATTAAATATTTAAAGGTAAATTAAATAAATACACGTTAATATTTAAATAAATTTCTTTTCCCTCATTAATGCCTTAAAAGTAATGATTTAATCATTGATATTATAAATTTATAATAAATTCACTCATTGTTAATTATTGTTGCTAGGATAATAGAATATTGATGTGGCGTGTTAAATCAACTAATCTGATATTGTTTAGTTATGTAAAACAATTATGTGAGAATCTCTGTTGTGTGACGGTTAAAAAAGGCTAAAAAATGGCGTGACCGGTTAAACAAGTGACCGATTAAAATTTTGACTGGTTATGTTATATCATTTAACTGGAAATATTATCAAGTACAATAACATATTAGGTAGCGCTTATATAATAAAATAGGCATTTAACCGGAAATATTATCAAGTACAATAACATATTAGGTAGCTCTTATATAATGTAATAGGTAGCGCTTATATTGACCTATTTTCGAAGTAAATCGGTATATTTATACCGGTAACATTGCAAATTTACCTATTACATTATAATTATCGGTTTCGATGTTTTTTAGATCGATACAATTTTAAATGTATCGACTCTTTATGCTTGCACCTCGTTGGGCATTCATATTTCATTCTAGAAAAAAGTATTGACATAAACTAAAAAAATATCGATATATTATTTAAACCTATTTTCTCATAAAATCAGTATATTTATATCGGGTACATTGTAAATTTACCTATCACATTGTAATTTTCGTTTCGATGTTTTTGGGATCGATACTTTTAATAAATGTATCGACACTCTATGCGTGCACCCGTTTGGCATTCATTATGGACAGAATGTATCGACACAAATTTAACAAGTGTTAATACTTTATGCTGACCTATTTTCTCATAAAACTGATATATTTATATCGGTTACATTGTAAATTTACTTATTACATTATAATTATCGGTTTCGATGTTTTTGGGACTGATACTTTTAATAAATATATCAACACTTTATGAGTGCACCTCGTTTGGGCATTTATTCTGGAAAATAAGTACCGACACAAATTCCACAAGTGTCGATACATTATGTTGATATGTTTTCTAATTAACTGGTATATTTATACCGGTTACATTGTTAATTTACCTATTACATTATAATTATTGGTTTTGATGTTTTTTTGGTCGATACTTGTAGAAAATGTGTCGACATATATTTATGTAGTTATTGTACATACCTAAATATGTACTGTGAATTTAATGTTGTACCCACTCTTTAACTACCACTACCAATACCATACCCTATTGAAAGCAGCACGACTGAAACATGTTCAATGAACCTTTGCTTACATCTCCATCAACTCCGGGACCACTGAACTTGCACAACAAATTTTTTGCCATGGATCATACTGATGCAGACAATGTTAAGCCAACCGAGGAATGACATGAAGTACATAATGTTGATGAATCTGACAGATTGGTTGGGCAACTCTTCTGTTCAGGTGATCAAGCTTGGTACTTTTATAAGGGATTCGCACGGGAACATGGGTTTAGTGCACGTAAGGGAACAACACGGCTTGACGTGGAAGGGAATGTGAAGACACAAGAATTTTGTTGTTCCAAAAAAGGGTTTTGAGTATCAAAAGTCAATATTGTTGATCGTCAACGTGCTCATACGCCAGTCACAAGAACAAGATGTAAGGCTAGAGTCGTAGTTACAACAACAAATACAAACGATCAGTGGGTTATAAGTAAGTCATATAAGAAACATAAGCATGCATTGTGCACACCTGCTATGACATCATTTATGCATTCTAATAGAGCTGTAAGTAAGGCTGATATCGATGAGGCAACAACATTTAAAGAGGTCGGTGTTGGCACGTCACAAGTAATGAACTATTTAACGCAGCAGGCAGGGGGCTATCATAATGTTGGATTTACACATAAAGACCTCTACAATGCACTTCAAAGAGGTAAAGCAAAGGAAATCGTCGATGGGGATGTGAATGCGCTTATTGCCTACTTTGATTATAAGAAACATGATGATCCCATGTTTTTTTATGATGTACTCCGTAGACGAATCAGGGGCATTGCATAATCTTATTTGGTCGGATTCTACATCGAGATCGGATTACACATGCTTCGGTGATGTAATTGCGTTCGACACAACGTACAAAGATAATTTGTATGGTCGACCAATTATGCCTATTGTCAGTGTCAATCATCACCATAACACAATTGTGCTTACCACTGCCATAATCGCTGACGAGACGTCTCAATCTTTCGAGTGGGTGCTACATAATTTTTTAAAAGCCATGATGAATAAATCACCTATTTCAGTTGTCACCGATGGGGATATGGCAATGCAGAGGGCTATCAAATCTGGTATCCCTTATGCTAAGAACAAATTATGTTCTTGGCATCTTTCTCGCAATGCACAAGCTAACATTGGTGACCAAAAATTTACAGCAACAATCTCAAAATGCATGGCTTCCTGGTGGACAAACGAGGAATTTGATATTAAATGGCGTTCGGTTGTTTCAGAATTCAACGTCGAAAAGCATCCATGGGTGATTGAGAAGGGAAATACTCGACACTTATGGGCACAAGCATATCTAACCGGTCTTTTCTTTGCCAATATTCGATCAACACAAATGTGTGAGTCTATGAATGCTTCACTAGCGATTGCACTGAAACACAAGAAGATATATTTAGATGTTGTTCGTGTAATTAAAGATGGAATTAGTAGAATGCGTATGAACGAGTTGAAAGCGGATTACTTAAGTTCTCATCCGAAGCCCTTCCAGATCACAAAACTGGTCGACCTTGAAAGCCATGCTGTTGAGATTTTTACCCGCGAATCTTTTCGTGTTCCAAGATGAACTTCTACGGGAGACATTGTACCGAATTGAGGAAGAGATTCAATCCTTATCAGATGAATGTCAACATTATATTTTGTCAAAGTAAAAAGAAAAAAATAGCACATTTGAAATTATTTTTGATTATCATACAGAAACCCTAATTTACTCCTGCAAAAAATTTGAGACCGTTGGAATTCCGTGTCGCCATCAACTTCACATTTTGAAGCACTTGGATTATACATATTTGCCCGGGACTTTGATTCAAAGTAGGTGGACTAAGGATGCGAAGGCTTCTGCACCCAGTTATGTTGACTTGAATGTGTCTCCAGAAGTGATACAAATGGCAAGGTTCACTGCTCTACGTTCAACGTCAAGTAGGTTATGCTACATTGCATCAAAGATAGACGCGTCTTTTAAAACCGCAAGAGATGAGATGAAATGACTAATAGAAGAATTAGAAAACTCGTTTGGTTTGAATGATTCAGTCAACCAGAACATTGTAGTAAACAACGTTCGTGACCCTCAACGAAGACAACACAAGCGAAAAGAAGTACCGAAGAACAAGGTCGAGAAGAAAATTAGGCGATGTGGGTACTGCAACGGTGAGGGACATAACAAACTAACATGTCCTCAAGTCAAGCTCAGTTTGAATACAAGCACACAGCCTACATCAACTGATTTTTTCGAAGACGGAATGGAATGGACATTCAGTCCCGCACGTGATGACAACGATCTCCATATATCGTAAGTATCAACATGACTCATATTGTGTATAAGAAACATGTACAACAACCAATTGCTAACTTTTCTCATCTCATACATAATTACATCACATACAAAATTATAAATCGTATGTAACTTATCCAAAATTAACCCTACATTAACAAAATTTACTCTCTTAGTCTATTTTGATTGTGGATTACGAGACCGTTTAATATTTCATCCGCATCATCACATAAATGCCAAATAATCTGTAGACTATAGTCTCCAGTAATCATGGTCGGAATCAATTATGTAACTGGGATTATCCAGGTTAATCATGTTGATAACATAACCAATAAAACCTGGGGGTCCAAATGGTAAGCTAGGAATTGGTAAGACAAGCTTTTTTTGAGGGTTTAGGGTTTAGAGCCCTCCAACATAAGGATTACATGATTGAACATTACGTATAATAGTTGTATTTAGTTGTTGAAGAATTGTTTTTAATTTTATATAAGGATAGTTGTTGTGATATACGTTCACGTTTCAGGACCAATTAGTTAGATGCGTGCATTAGCCTATATCCTCGAGGCAAAGCACAAGAAATCTGACACTTAAAGATTTACCAAGAGCGGTAGCTTTTGCTCTGTATGAAGACCGAACTTAGAATCAACTTTGCAATTATGTTTATCATGTTGAAGAGAACCTGTTGAAAAATAGGATTTGCACACAACTACAAGCATTTTAAACCCTAAACCCAACTCCTTACATGATTAACATCTATGTTGCATAATTTTCTATGTGAGTAGTTGGGTTTAGGGTTTAAAATGCTTGCAGTTGTGTGCAAATCCTATTATTCAGCAGGTTCTCTTCAGCATGATAGGCATAATTGCAAAGTTGATTCTAGGTTCGGTCTTCATGCAGAGCAAAAGCTACCGCTCTTGGTAAATCTTTAAGTGCTAGATTTGTTGTGCTCTGCCTCGATGATATAGGCTAATGCACACATCTAACTACTTGGTCCCAAAACGTGAACGTATATCACAACAACTATCCTTATATAAAATTAAAAACAATTCTTCAATAACTGAATACAACTATTATACGTAATGTTCAATCATGCACTCCATACATTGGAGGGCTCTAAACCCTAAACCCTCAAAGGAATATTGCCTTACCAATTCTTAGTTTACCATTTAGACCCTGCAAGGGGTTTTATTAGCTATGCTGTCAACATGATTATGAGCTTCCTTTATCCTTTCGCATTCAGTCAGACTGTAGAGATTTGAATCAATTAAATTGGATTAAATACTTTAATCCAATTACCATTTTAAGAACAATTACATGAATACATTGATACTTACTGGCCGCTTTCGATTTTCTTCAATATTGATACGCTAGGGCTCTATTTGAAGGTCATCATCTTCGCGAACAAAGATTGAACTTGCAACCTATAACCATTCACAAACATCAAACTTTAAAACCTAACCCCTTTTTTTTGAAGACTTTTTAAAAAATTAGGGTTCCGATAACATACCTATCGAACACAAGAAGGTAAAAAAAGTGTCTAATCTGGAAATCAATACCATAATATCGATAAATTTACATGAATAACTGATCGTAACTGTTATGAACGCTGGTATTCGTTAGAGAGGAAGAAAAGAGAATTGTCTTTAGGGTTTATCCATTTGGGGTTTGCTATGTTACATATAAATAATGAAGAAATAAAAACTGAGTTATTTAAAAGTATCGACACAAATAAAAAAGTGTCGCTACATATTGTAGACCTATTCTCTCATAAAACCGGTATATTTATACCGGTTATATTAAAAAATTATATATTACATTATAATTATGAGTTTCGATGTTTTTGGGATCGATACTTTTTGAAAATGTATCGACACTTTATGCGTTCACCCTTTTTGGCATTCATTCTGGACAAAAAGTATCGACACAATATTAAAAAGTATCTATACATGTTATAGACCTATTCTCTCATAAAATCAGTATATTTATACCGGTTATATTACAAAATTACCTATTACATTATAATTATGGGTTTCGATGTTTTTGGGATCGACACTTTTTGAAAATGTATCGACACTCTGTGCGTTCATCATTTTTGGCATCCATTCTGGACAAAAAGTATCGATACCAAATTAAAAAGTATCGATACATGTTATAAACCTATTCTCTCATAAAACCGGTATATTTATACCGGTTACATTGTAAATTTACCTATTACATTATAATTATGGTTTCGATGTTTTTGGAATCGACACTTTTTGAAAATATATTGACACTTTGTACGTTCACCCTTTTTGGCATCCATTCTGGACAAAAAGTATTGATACAATATTAAAAAGTGTCAATGCATGTTGTATACCTATTCTCTCATAAAATCGGTATATTTTTTCTAGTTATATTACAAAATTACATATTACATTATAATTATGGGTTTCGATGTTTTTGGGATCGACACTTTTTGAAAATGTATCGACACTTTGTGTGTTCACCCTTTTTGACATCCATTCTGGACAAAAAGTATCAACACAATATTAAAAAGTATCGATACATATTGTAGACATATTCTCTCATAAAATCGGTATAATTATACCGGTTACATTAAAAAATTACCTATTACATTATACTTATGGGTTTCAATGTTTCTGGGATCGATACTTTTTATAAATGTATCGACACTTTATGGGTACACCCTTTTTGGGATTTGATTCTGGACAAAAAGTATCGACACAAAATTAAAAAATGTCGATACATGTTGTAGACTTATTCTCTCATAAAACCTGTATATTTATACAGGTTACATTGAAAATTTACCTATTACATTATACTTATGGGTTTCGATGTTTCTGGGATCGATTCTTTTTATAAATGTATCGACACTTTATAGGTGCACCCTTTTTGGCATTCATTCTGGACCAAAAGTATCGACACAAAATTAAAAAGTGTCGATACATGTTGTAGACTTATTCTCTCATAAAACTGGTATATTTATACCGGTTACATTAAAAAATTACCTATTACATTATACTTATGGGCTTCGATGTTTCTGGGATCGATACTTTTTATAAATTGATCGACACTTTATGGTTGCACCCTTTTTTTGCATTCATTCTGGACAAAAAGTATCGACACAAAATTAAAAAGTGTCGATACATGTTGTAGACCTATTCTCTCATAAAACCGGTATACTTATACCGGTTAAATTGAAAATTTACCTATTACATTATACTTATGGGTTTCGATATTTCTGGGATCGATACTTTTTATATATGGATCGACACATATGCTTACTTATTTTTTGGAAACTTTACGTTTGTGAACCATACTGGACAAAATGTTGGAAACAAATATTTGTGTTTATTAATTTTTCAGTAAAAAGTCTATTTTTACCAACTACATTGTAAATTTACCTTTTACATTAAAGTTATTGAATTTTGTAGTTATTGTACATACCCTCAATATGGAATGGCCATTCAGTCCCGCACATGATGACAATTATGATGACATTTGGAATAATGCAGACAACAATCTCCATATATCGTAAGTATCAACATGACTCTTAATGTGTACAAGAAACATGTACAACAACCTACTGCTAACTTTTCTCATCTCATACATAATTACATTCACATACAAAATTATAAATCGTATACAAAATTATAAATCTTATACAAAATTAACCCTACATTTACATCATTGCATCATTTTGTTATTCTTGTGTCTCATGACAGCTTTTGTTATCTCCTGTCTTCGTTGATTTTGATTGTGGCTTACGAGATCGTTTAATATTCTCGATCGATCCCACTCTCCAATAACCTATATTCAAATTGTCAGAACGTTAAGTATTGTAAACCACAATATTCAATCTATGACTTTTAACAATTTAACCATAAACGATTTTTTAATTCCACTTACAAAATCACCAGTTGCCCTGTAGAACTGATCGATTCCATCCACATCATCACATACATGTAGTAATCATATCTGTTACAAAATTTGAAAACCACACATGTCAATTATGAAACCTGCATAAATTAAGCTTTCTATTTATGATAGCATCTCATACCCATTCAATTGCTTATTCTTCTTATGCTCCACAAATTTAAAATTTTTCAAGGGAACCTTTCCTAGAGATCTACAGTATTCTACCCAAATGCGTTTCTTATTATAAATATCTAATATTTTAATCTGCATTAAAAAATATGAAGTTATGATCCAAACAAATTATGCATTATAATTTACATAATGTCCTTTCATACATACATACATACCAATCTCTTAGCATCCTTCACTCTCTGTTTAGCTGCTTCAGATGTAAACAGACTATCATATATTGTTGCAACACGATCTACCATATCCAACACTAACATATACTAATCTGAATTAAGGTAGTTTATTGTGATCATGATCTGCAACAAATTTCACACCCAATTTGACAAAATTCAACATTCTATATCCGAAAACATCATTTGTAATTCGTATAGTGTCTTACCTTCTCACAGTCGGTGAATTTCACATAGTTATCCAATATGGGACCCCAAAAGGTAGCAATACTCTCAATACTTTCTTTGTTGTTGGCATCTAACACTTGTTGCTGCAATTACGCAACAATCATTATTAATTTACTGTCTATAACACTACTTTTCAACATTTATTAATTTAACTCACCGCTAAGTGGTATAGAATGTAGCCAATCCTCTGGAGTGACTTTTTCTAATCATAACATACTGTCCAGGCGAGCAAATCAATAATCTAACAAAATTAATTACACAATCAGAACATATTCAATAGGTTTTAACATTTTGTACTTTCTACTTACCACATCGCCAACCCATTCCGTAGGCTTCAACGTTGCATCGTCGTATACACTAGCGAATTGATTTCCCATTGAGATTACATAATATCTGCATGAATCATTAGGATTAATATATTGTCATGAAATATTTAAATATCACTCACAAAGAAATATATTTCACTTACCCCGATTTTAACCCACTATTCCATAAATAATCACAAATTGCAGCTTCGATGTCATCAATTCCGCTTGGAAGATCTGTTTTTTCAACCTACAATTTTGCATACAAATTTTTGTCACAACAATATGATAAAGATCAAATTAAGTTTTCTTTTATTCAACTTACCTTCTTCTTCTTCTTCTGGGGTGCAGGACATTCTGAATCCAAATCTGCATCTATAACAGTCTCCGGTGTATATATCACATCGACATCCTTCCTCTTCATTTCCTCCATCTTTTCTTTTTCCTCCTCCCTCTTTTCTTCTTCATATTTTTTCAATTCATCGTATTTTTGCTCTACATAGCTCTTTATCTCTTTTATTTCACCCTTCAAATTTTCCCCTTCATCCAAGTATTGATCAACCACCCCCTTCACCCCCGTAAATTCACTCCTCAATTCCACAACCTCCTTCACCACTCCATCAATTTTTTCACCCGTCACCATCTTAAGATCACCCCTTAACACCTCAACTTCTTTCACCACTTCACCCCTCAAAACCTCTACTTCTTTCACCACTCCATCTATTTTTCCGTCCACTATTTTTCCTTCAACTTCCCCCTTATGCCTCTCAAGTGTCTCTTCGACTCTCTCAAATTTCTCTTCGACTCTCTCAAGTTTCTCTTCGACTCTCTCAAGTTTCTCTTCGACTCTTGATTGTCTTTGCATGATATCAAATTGGATTTTTTTATATCAGCCAATTTAGACATCAAAATGTCGAAGTTACTCTGTTTTCCCTCACCGTCATCCCCCAATACAACCATCTCTTCTTTCTTCTCCTCTGCATTCACTGCCTCCTCTACCTCTTTTCTAATAACCTTCAAAATTAAATTACAATATTAAGACATTGATTATATTCTTAATATTATTTAATTACATTTATTACCCTTTCTTGCTTCCTCGGTCTATCCAACTTCAACTTCGCCATCACTCTAACCACCTTTCCTTCCCCCATGCATGGATGCGTGCCACTCCGGTTCTTTCATAAGCCGGCACTGCCTCACAGCCCGACCAAAAATTGAACAGTGTAACCTGCATTTATAATAAAATTTATAATTTTATATAATAACTATACTATCATTTTATATAAAAACACAAAAAAGTTTTTCAACTCATTTACCTCTAAGATTTCTATGCACCCTTTGAGGTATCTCTGGCTGCCCTTTTTAAAGTGATTATTAATTCAATCAATCTCGAATGGGCATATTCAGCCCAATTGAATTCACCTTTCAAGCCTTCATTGCAAATGAGCTTTATATAGTCCTTGTTCGTTGACGTATTACCCGTTGGACAAAGAAAGATCCCGACAAGGTACAATAAAACTCTGACCTTCAGCTCATCCCCCCGTAAGATCCACTTTTGATTTCCTCTTCAAGTTCAGCATATGCCACCTTCTACTTCAAACCATATTTGGAGGTAAGTTCTTTCCAGTTCTTACTCTTAGAGACTTCTACAACACTTTTGCTTTCATTTTCTACCCCCAATACGGCTGCAGCACATGGGATCCCAAGAGGAAATGAAAAATTACCATACTTAGCAATACATTGTTTGACATCAAATTGTGCCATCAAGGATCGACACAATTCCCTCCGAATAGGTCGATCCCTTACTCCTACCAACGATCCAAACCCATTTCTCCCAGCACATTCAACTGACCCTTCTCCTTAAGATGTTTAATTAATGAATTCACCCTTTTAAAGCTGCACATTGTCGACACTTCCTACATTTTTTAACAATATATAATGTTATAGTTCTTATATATTTTGTATCAACGTATTTACAAGTTTAATGAATACATTTTTTTCATGTACTTTCCTCCATTCTTTGTATTCTTCACTATCCATCTTTGACTGTGCGATGTAAGGTTCCTTATCAGCATCACTCATCGAATTACATTTCTCACATAATATTAAGCATAAACGTTTCTTAATAAATACATTAACGCTAAATAATACTCAATGTCAATTTCAATTTACATATCGAGCCGATGTGTTCGCCACCTTCCTTCATCCTTTGGCATTCGGTCATATTGTCAACATTTAATTTTTTTTTATCAATTTAAAATTCTTAAATACTTTAATCCAATTATCATTTCAACAATAATAACAAAAAGATATTGATACTTACTAGAAGTACATATATCCACCATTTGGTTGCTTTCGAGTCTCGGCCTCAATTTCAAAGTCATCTGCGCCTCCAATAATTTTCCACCCATTGACTCCATTTTTCCTTCATATATCAGTTTACGCAAATCAAATCAAATACTTGGTACATACACTTTATTCAATATACAAATATAGATAACTACTTTTGTGGTAAAACAATTTTCTTCAAAAGAATTTGAATGGCCACTACAAAATGTATCGGCACATTTATACAACCTATAATATCATTTTCTACCTATAATATTTAAAAAAAGTATCGACATTTATATTTTACCTTGAATATCACTTTATACCTGTAATCGGTCCCAAATGCTTCTTTACTCCAAAACCCCAAACAACACATAAAAATCCTATTTCCGATTACTGTAATAATAAAAAACTAGAGTTTCGACAACGTACTTTTCGATTTGACTGTAGCAACAAACAAACAAACTTCGCTTTAGAAACGCATTATGAAATGCAGTAATAATTACGCTTCGATTTCAAAAACTCGTCCGTTCTATATATTTTCAGAGGATATTTAGCTATGGCCTTTATATTTTCATCGGATATGTTATTTATATTTAATCGATACAACTACCAAAGTGTCGAGACTTTTATGTCAGGTGTCGATACTTTCGATAGGATAATTACATATTTCTTTGAAAGTATCAATAATTTATTACACGTACTTATTAAAGTATCGACACTTTCAATATATCTGGTAGCGATTTATCGGTTTTATCATTTCGATACCGATTTTGTCATATTTTTACTTGTTATATCGTTATGGATCGATATTTTTTTTAAAGTATCGACACTTTATAAGTGCTAAAACTGCTTCTCTTTTAAATTCACAAAGTGTCGATACTTATATTAAAGTATCGACACTTTCAATATATCCGGTAGCGATTTATCGGTTTTATCATTTCGATACCGGTTTTGTCATATTTTTATCTGTTATATCATTGTGAATTAATACATTTTTATAAAGTATCGACACTTTATAGGCGCTAAAATTACTTCTCTTTTAAATTCACAAAGTGTCGATACTTATATTAAAGTATCGGCACTTTTAATATATTCGGTACCGCTTTACCAGTATTGTCTTTACGTGACAGGTTTTGTCATATTTTTACCTGTTATATTGATATGAATCGATAAATTTTTTATTTGGATCGACACAAACCGACAAGTTAAGTTTGTCGGTTGCCAAATTTTTTAATATTTCTTCATGATTTAGACCTACTACATTATTACTACTCAACATTTTTGGTAACGCTAAACCGAATTTATTAAATATCTTTTAATGTATCCGATAATGCCGTATATTAACCGTATATTAACCCGTCTTTCATGAGATAATCCCCAATTATGTTGACAGATCGTTCGACTGATCTTCATTTTAAACCAATACCCAATAAATCTTATTTTACTATAGTTCTCGATGTTATGTTTCAACCGGACCACCTCTAAAACAAGAAAAGAATACCAAAATGAGAAAAAAATCACTTGATCCGTCAAGAGTGAGGTTACTACTATGAATAGGGATAATCCTATGTGGCGTGGTTGGACGTGATCGTCATTCTTTAAAAATTTTAAATTTATATATATTTTAGATATTTTTTAAATTTTTTATTGAAAATCGGTTTTCTCTTTTCTCTAAATTTTATAAACTTGCATCTCCTTAAAATTTTATAAATTCGTTATTCTTTACATAAAATTATACGTTCGTTCATGACTGAAAAATCACCAACTTCATACCCCAACAATACCTTTGGCTGATAACAAAAAGACAACTAGAATGTCGATGATACTATCCTTGAATGACAAAGAATGCATTATGAGAAAAGCACCTCGAGAGTCAGCCACTGATAATAGGAATGGATCGAGAAAAGGGGTAGTCGCCCTGAAGAATTTTAAATTACCATATATATTGTTCTTTATGTCCCATTATATTTGTCAATTATTAATTTTTTTTATCAAATTTTTAACTTTGATTCATTATTATTTAAAACTTATTATTGATAAAATATAAAAATATTTAATCAAGTAATTTTTAAATATATATTTTATGAAATTTTATTGCTTAAAATATTTAAAATAATTATGATTAAAGTTTAAAATTTATCTTTTAAAAAGTTAATAAAAGATAAAATTTAGTGTGACAGAAGAATATATATACTTTTTATATATTTTGTATTAATAATTTGATATTTAAAATTTTATAAATTTAATTCCTCTTAAAATCGAATAAATTCATCCCCTATATAAAATTTTAAGTCAAGTAAGTCTACCGACCTCACGTCATTTCACCCATTACTTCCTTACTAGCCGAAGTCAGCCAGCTTGACATGCATTTTTTTATTGGTGAGAAGCACATTACCTGTCATCATATTATTTGGGATATGTAAGAAATATATTATTTGGAGACATAACATTTTCACTAGTTGCCAGTTGAGGCTTTTGTGCATATAAGATCATCTCCGACTCTCATCTCTACTCTAGAATATCTCTATCTCTATTCTAAAAATGAAATAGTAATTTATCTCCAGCGGTATCTTACATTATCATCAACTCTACTTTATTCACAATATTTAACTATTATAATATTGATTTTACAAATATAAAATAAACATATACATTTCTAAAAAATATTAAGATAAAAAGTATTAATAAAACATTCATAAATAATATTGTGAAAATAAAAATAAATAAGAAAATCACAAATAATAATAATAATAATGCTCAATTAGTGCATTTCGCAGAGCAAAATTAATATGTTTATTCATCTAATTTCAATATATTTTTATCTATCTCACAATTTAATATACTTGAATATATTATATTATGTTTAATATAATATAATAAAAAACTAAAACTATAAATCAAAAAAAAATTGTAGCGTTTGCTACAATAACACTGGAGCCTCTACAGTGCATCTTTATCTTCACTCCAGCGCAGCGCTGGAGTTGCTCTAAATCAATAGCAATAAAAAGATACTGCACGTCCACATGGAACATGCTTATTATCAGCTTCCAAAATCCTTATGTATTTTGATGCTTCACTTGTATAAAAAATGAACTTTCGTTTCAGCACAATTTATAATTTGTCCAGTCACATGACTTTACTGGCACCATCACTTACCATCTCTATTGAGAAAAAAACAGTGAATATTTTCAATCACCCATCTATTACATACTAGATCGGAGTATACACTTAATCATATTGTTATAATTAACTTTATTTGCATCAACCTCAAAGTATTAAATTACTGAAACATAACATAGACTTCGTAAGCAAAACAATAACATAACAAAACATGATATCACAACTCAAATGATTACAAAACCTCAAATATATGCCCACTTTCTTGAGAGTTTTAGTATTGAAGGTAAAATTGGCGTGTGAAACAAATAGCTTTAATTGAGCTATAGGATGGTTGGTTCGATAAAACTGATAGTTTTTTAGGTTAGTTGTACGAGAGTCTGTTCAGTCAACAATTCTAATATCATAGAAGCGGAGTGTAGAAACAAAAATCAGTCTCTCGACTAATAATAGAAGCAAAGTATAGAAATGTTGTTAAAGTTATAGTTGAAGTGATATGAGTTAGTGCTTTGTGTATGTGGGGATAGCATAGTATGGAGAACCTGCAATTTGGTGTGACAATACGATTATTGTTGCTTTGAATGCAAATCCTACCTACCATGCTCATACTAAGCATGTAGACTTGGATATTCACTTTGTGAGAAAGAAGGTTAAGCAAACAACTACAAGTTGTGTTCCTGTCTGTCATCAACTTATAGATGGATTAATCAAACCAGTTGCCAAGGATGCTTTTGAAGTGTTTCGAGATAAGGTATGTGTGCAACCTTGCCAATAAAAAAAGGAAAGGGAAGATGAAAAAGTAGAAAAAATATAGAAGATAAAATTGGCGTGTGAAACACATGACTTTAGCTGAGCTATAAGGTGATTGGTTTTTTAAAACTAATAGCCTGCTAGGTTAACTATATGGAAGTTTGTTCAGTTAACTGCTTTGATACCATGGAAGCAGAGTATAGAAACAAAAATAAATCTCTCGACCAACAATGAAAGTGGAGTATAGAAGTGTTGCTGAAGTCACAGTTGAAGTGACTTAGATTGGTGCTTTGCTCGCAGACTTGGGGATAACATAGTGCGGAGAATATGTAATTTTGTGCGACAATATGAGTCCTTGTTGCTTTGAGTGCAAATCTCGTATACCATGGTCATACTAAGTATGTAGACTTCGATATTCACTTTGTGAGAGACAAGGTTACACCAAAACAACGACAAATAAACTATATTCCTGTGTGTCATCAGTTTACAGATGGGTTAACTAAACTAGTGGTCAAGACTACTTTTGAAGTGTTTCGAGACAAGATTTGTGTGCAACCTTGCCAATAAAAAAGAAAAGGGAAGAAGAAAATATAGGAGAAATATTAAAGGTAGAACTTGCGTGTGAAACACGTGGTTTTAGCTAAGCTATAAGGTGGTTGGTTTATTAAAACTGACAGTCAGTTAGGTTAACTGTATGGCAATCTATTCAGTCAACTACTCTGATATCATGGAAGTAGAGTATAGAAACAAAAACCAGTCTCTCGATCAATAATGGAAGCGAAGTATAGAAGTGTTACTGAAGCTGTAGCTGATGTGACTTGGATTGATCCTTTGCTCGTAGAGTTGAGGATAACATAGTGTGGAGAACCTGTAATTTGGTGCGACAATACTAGTATTGTGTATACCATGCTCATACTAAGTATGTAGACTTGGATATTCACTTTGTGAGAAAGAATGTTACAACAAAACAACGACAAGTAAGCTATGTTTCTGCCTGTCGTCAACTTGTAGCTGGGTTAACCAAACCAGTGGCCAAGGCTGCTTTTAAAGTGTTTTGAGAAAAGGTCTTAACCTTGCTGGTAAAAAAAGGGAAAGGAATGAAGAAAAAGTATAGAAAATATTGAAGGTGGAATGGGCATGTGAAACACGTGGCTTTCGTTGAGTTATACAGTGGTTGATTCGTTAAAGATAATAGTCTGTTAGGTTAACTGCATGGAAGCCCATTCAGTCAACTGCTCTGGTACCATGGAAGCCGAATATAGAAACAAAAATATTCTCTTGATCAACAATAGAAGCGAAGTATAAAAGTGTTGCTGAAGCTGCAGGTGAAGTGACTTGGGTTGGTGTTTTGCTCATAGACTTGAGATAACATAGTATGGAGAACTTGTAATTTGGCGCGACAATACAAATATTGTTTCTTTGAGCACAAATCCAGTCTACCATTCTCATACTAAGCATGTAGACTTAGATATTCAGTTTGTGAGAGAGAAGGTTACAACAAAACAACGACAAGTTATATTCATGTCTGCCATCAGCTTGCAGATGGATTAACCAAACCAGTGGCTAAGCCTGCTTTTGAAGTATTTCAAGACAAGATCTATGTCTTGACAGTAAAAAAAGGAAAGATAAGAAGAAAAAGTAAGAGAAATATTAAAGGTAGAATTAACGTGTGAAACACGTGGTTATAGTTGAGCTATAGGGTAGTTTGTTTGTTAAAACTAATATTCTATTAGGTTAACTGCATATGCATC